TACTGGGTATGGATTTGTGATTATCTAGTCCCCTGAACCCAAATAAAGACTTTTGAAGCATAAGAAGACAGGAAAAAAGCCAGTATATATTCTACATATTATAATCAAATAAGTAATATATCATATAAATATATATAATTATATGATATATATGTTATTTTTAGTTCTAACATAAACTATTGGGATGGCCCTGGTAGGAATAAACTGTTCTGATGATGAGGAAGATAAGGTGTTCTTTGCCTGAACCAAAAGACGCTAACACCAAGAATCAGACATGAAAATCCAGGAGTTCTAACAAATGTCTCCCAACATTGTGTTCTGGAACATTCTATTTTCAAGAAAATTTATAAACATTACCACAGCTTGCCTCACTTTGGGGATAAAGCGACACAAAAACAAGCAAAAGCCTCTTCCCACCCTACTCACCCACTCCTTGTGCATAAAAAGAAGAGTTTTGCAACAAACTGATCAAAATCAGGAAGTGACTACAGATCTCAGAGGAGAAATACAAATTTTACCTTAATATTGCTATGGCTTTGAAATACTTCCTCTAAGGACAGACTGACATAGTAAAGTAAAAAAAATAACTCATGATATGGTCCCAACTCCTTCAAGAGAAAGTCCAAAAAAGGCATCTGCACAATACTTCCCACTTGGATGTGTGTGGAGGCAGGTGAGGATGCAGACAGAGCCCAGCGGGAAGGAAGGAGAGCGGGTGGGCTCACTGGGGGAACTACCGACCAGGACTTTTAGTGACTGCCATGAAAACTGGGGGTGTACCTTGAGATCCACGATAAGTGCTTGTCCAACAGTAAGGACAATCACTGAAAAATTACAATGTTGACTGAATGGACTAAAACACACCCATGAAAAATGAGTGGGATCAGTCTGAGAAAGGGTCTCTTTCAAATATTAAATTTTTTTTAAAAGATTTTATTTTTCTTTCTTCTCCTCAAAGCCCCCCAGTAAACAGTTGTATATTTTAGTTGTGGTTCCTTCTAGTTGTGGCACGTGGGATGCTACCTCAGCATAGCTTGATGAGTGGTGCTAGGTCCGTGCCCAGGATCTGAACCGGCATAGCCCGGGGCTGCTGAAGTGGAGTGCATGAACTTAACCACTTGGCCACGGGGCCGGCCCCCCAACTATTAAATTCTTGGTCTCTGATTTGAGGACCTGAAGGAAAGGAGACTGTACACACCCACTTTCAATTGTTCAGAGTAGAGATTTTAAGTTAACCAGCTGCTATCACCTCTTTATTCCTTCCTCCTCCCTGTTTTGATTTTACTTTCCAATAGAGCTTTCTCCTTAAGTTACAGTGCTCTCTTCCTTCCTTGTGTGGAGTCTCCCAGGCATGCCTACGAAGCTGCTGGAGAACGCAAGCGCAGATGTAGAGGTTCTGGAGAGGTAAGTGAACAAAACTCTTGGTGGCCAAGAAAGTGTGTCGTCTTGTTTGTGACCTTCAACTTTTTCTCCTTCCTCCATGACTTCTGGTACTCTATCATGGGAGGCAACATATTATAACAACAAAAAGATATCTAAATTTATTGAAAGCTCACTTTATGCACCAGGCACCATGCTTACTGCTTATCTGTGTAATCTCAATCCTATGAAGCAGACACTATTATTAATATTCCCATTTTATATATGAAGAAACTGGCCCAGTAGGTCACAGGCTATTGGATGTCATCCTTGCCCTTAAAAACTGTACCATTTAAAATAATCTTAAGTAATAACTAAGAGTATACTATAAACTCTGCAATGGGAGGGGCAGTGTCTCAGCATCAGTAGGCACCCAGTCAATACTTGTAAAATGAATGAACGAAGCACTGGATGGGATGTTTCAATTAGCTGACTCTCTCTCTCTCTCTATGTAATTCCCATGCAGGAGAAAGGAGCCCTACAGTGCCTCCACTTTAACTTCCTTATTGATACTGTGGCTAACACTCCCCTCTGACCCCTAAGCTCCCATCCCCTATTCGTTAGTTCCTTTCAGAAGCTACTGACACACCTTAAATCTGCCCAACACAAGTCAGCCATGCTGCCAGCAGGCTTTTCCGAGGCAGCTTGTTCAAGGCTGCCAGGTTTATAGACAGAGCCCAGAACGCAAAGTGTGGGATAAATAAGCCTCTATGGAAGCTCAGGAGTTCCCAGCTACTAAGTCTCCAGTCTTCTGCATACTTGGGTGACACAAGGCTCCTTTAAATAGTCCCCTTTTAAACTCAGATGTCGTTTTATGAGACTGAAGGGAGAGACTGTATGTTTGGCTCATGTAAAGAAATCGTCTTTGCTCAAAAGCTTCCCTAATGAGGAACTCTTATTTATTGGGCAGCTGGAAGTTTTCTACAGCCTGTTCTATAAACGCTCCTTTGTGTGCCCCTCAGTCTTTCCCAATTAATGCTGGAAGCTTCAAAAGGGCAAACTGTTCAAAGCCCCCACCCAACAGCAGAGGAGTGCTTAACAACACAAACCAGACCCCACTGACATTGGTCTGGTTAAAACGATCCCACAACACACACGTTTAGAGAGATGGAGGCTTAGGCAGCAACGTGACCACGACAAGTGTGCAGAAATGACAGGTCGACCAGATTTCCCATCTCCTCTCCATGCGCAGAGGCCAGAAGGAAAAGAGAGCTGTGTCACAAAAACTTTCTAAGCCAGCGGATACCGATTCCTGCTGCTGTCTTAACACGGGGAGAGGTGTTATCTGTATGCTACTCCATTTTCCAGTGAGAACATCCAGTCGAGATCTTCTACAGCTGTGAATCTATAGAGCAAACAGGAAGTGCCTAGCCACACAATAAAACCCAGAGCCCACAAATGAACCTGGTGTCAGAGAGACACTGAAGAGAGACAGGAAAACACAGTGAATTAAGCTATCAAGAGGGTAAGACGCAATGATACAGACATGTCCACTCATTCATTCCCCACCCAGCTCCCGTACCCCAAGATTTAATTTTTATTAAAAGAAGCTGAGTTCAAGAGCTTGAAACTGGGAAAATTCTTGGCAATTGAGGGAAACACTTTCTAGGGTTGAGCAGAATTAACAAACACAGATAAGAAACTGCCTCAATGTCTTCTATATCAAACAGATTAAACCAGGCATCTTTTCTCCCTTCTCTGAAAATCTCTTTCTAAAAGTAGGGAAAGTGTGTGAGCTGAGTAAGTGACTCAGATGTGAAGGGGCTTCTCATTTCCTTGGTGGTTCCCTGTCAAGAGTGATGGCTGACAAGCCAGTGCTGGGAGCGGGGCCTATTTACTTCTCCATGACTTTCCCTTTCAAGCTTTTCCTCAGTGCTTTTCATGCACAGGTGGTGACTAGTTTTACTGAGGATGAGACTGACAGAAGAGGTCGGCCATTGCTCAAGGTCTTGATGATGACTCACAGCAAAGCAACAAGAGGGTCTCCAGCTTGGCATTCAAATGCCATCCCTACCACCTGAAGAGAGACCTGAAGAACTCTTGTTTCTTGATGGGTTTTCTAAGTTGTTGCTCCATAGGCTTCTGGACTGATGTCAAATCCAAAGTAATCTGGCTTGGTAATTCCTTCTTGTATGGCTCTTTTGGTGACCAACTTCATCGCTTAGCCTTGACGTCTCGGTGACCTCTGCTATTAAGGGAAAGTGAGGTTCAACACAAAGCCTGAGCCTGTGTGAGTCAGTCAAAGAGGAGCATCAGCAGTCACATCTGGGGGCCGCTTAGGCCTTCCTAGTGCTCCCAGCAGGAACTCATGAAGATGATACACACGCTTCCTAAATGGCTCTAGGCGTTCTTCCTCCTGTCTATTTCTAGTGCATACCACAGTCTGCGTTTTATTTGGTTCCCTGTCAAGTAAGAATTCTCTGAATTCCCTTGGCACCAGGCTGGTGACACATGCAACACAGCTGAGAGGGGACCTCGGCAGGTCTGACTGAGGAGCTCCTGAGCAGCCAAGATGAGGCCAAGCTGGACACTGCTTCAAGTCCTTACCACCAGATCAAGTACTTTTTCTTGTTTCTCTTTCAGATGGGTACCTGCTTCTGATCACCCCATCATTTCTCCCAGCACTGGCACTTAGCTCTGTGCCCAATGTATGACAAAAGACAAAACAGCTTGATTCGTACACAGAACTAGGAAGATCTGGGGTTGACCAGGTCCTGATGTCTTTATCAGGCAGAGACCCTGGGACTTGGGGAGCAGCAGAATGCCCGGGGGAAGTGAAGGATGCAACAGTCTCTTTTTGAATAGGGTAATTTAAAAGCAAAAACCACAGCAATGAAGACAGAGGGCAACGTGAGAACATCTGAGATGTGACATGGAGAAAGGCAGTGGGAGGCAGTTTACACACAGGCAGCGAGGAAACAAAGGCAGACTGACAGGCCTTCGAGTTACCACTGAAAGCCGGGGTCAGGTGATGAAAATAGCCCTGAGTCTCGCAGGGTCAGATTTCCTTTCTTGCTTCAGGAACTTAGGAAAAGTGACTTTACTCTTTTCCTACACATTAAGAAAGAGAAGGCTGGCCTCATTAAAAGGTGTCCTTGGAGCTCTTGGGGACCTAAGGCACCAAAATAAAAAGATTTGGTGCAAGAGAGGTGGCTCACCTGGGGTGATCAAAGGGACAATCAAAATGGGTTCCTGACTCGCAGTCCAGAGCAGCTGAAGGAGACAGAGCTCTTACTGTGCCTTAGCCCCTTACTTTGTCTGGTCACAGCTTAAATGATATGTCTGTGACAATACTTAAGAGGCCATGCTAACTCTGTATGTGAGAAAATGGGGGCCTTTAACAATAAAAGAGACAGCATGCTAACAGCTGGGTATATCAGGGAAAGGGAGACAAAAAATCCTCTCTTCAAGATTGGTGGGGGAGGCATGTCGTTTTCGTTTAATTACGAAAAATTTGGGTGAGGGAAGCTCACCACAATATAATTACCCCTTCAAAATACTATTTTCACCAGTGCATATTCTGTATAAATAAATACATATTTTATACCTAGTAGTGACCAGAGCATTCATACAATTTTGCATTTTGCTTTTTCACGTAACAGGCATTTCCCATTTTATCCAGAGTCTTCATAATTACTTGTAATGGCCACACAATCATTCCAGCCTGCTGCTAGATGCCCTGCATGAACCCAGTGTGTGGGCGCAGCCTCTTGGCTAGCTGAGAGCAGCACTTGTCAGATTACCAGGCCCCCAGGAGTGCCGCTCAGGAGCTCACCTTCAGCACTCTACACTCCCTAGGTTATCTGTCCTGGAGAAGTCTGCAAAGCTGGCTCTGGGAATCAGAGTGCCCATCCTCTGAGGATGGACACAGTGCTCAGCAATAGCCCAGCAAGCTGTCCCATTTGACACATCACTTCTAGGCCCTCCTGGCTGGACGCAGGGCCAGGTGCCCTAGCACAGCCCTGCATAAGGCACTGAGAGGCCGCACAGCCCCAGAGAGTCAAAGTACACGATTTGTGCTGGCCTTCCAACCCAGGGGCCTGACAGAGGCATGTTGTAAAAATGAAGAATGGCTGTCACATTTCCAAGGCTCTGGCTGATTTAGGGAGCTACTGGCAGGCGCATCACTCCCAGCATGTCAGCCAGTTAATTACTTCCAACTTTATCTTTCTTGTCAACACTTCTTGACAAATTGGCCATTATCTTTTTATTCTACAACAATGAGCACTGCTCCTTTTCTGGTGAGGCCTGGAGGTTTTTCTCCTCCTTTCCGCTTCTTCATATCCAAAGCAAAATGAAGAGCTCTGAGAGAGATGATTAGAAAGAAGACACTGTCAGGAAAAGGAAGGTGAAAAGGAACAAAACGGGGAGGGCTGATAGACTGAATCCAAAGCTAATTTTCAACTGCCTTGACTCAAAGCAGAGTTGATATTTTGGGTAAAATTCTGATTTCTTGGCTTCTCCATGTCCACGAGCTCTGACTCAGTCTATTATGTGGATGAAGTTGGGAAACAAAAATTAAATGAGCTGGCAACTAGTGATTTGGCAGCTTTGAACTCTCCACACTTAATTGCATAAGCAGATGTGAGCTGGCCTTCTACTCCATTAAGGAGTTAGGCCACATTTTAGAAATACTGATGCCCATTCTGGGATAAGGGAAAAGAAAAAAATATGCCTACTTTCTTGGTAAGGAAAAACTGACAGAAGAGGACCATGACACTATAATTGGATTACTAAGATTTACAGCCAATGAGATATCCAAAAGAATTTGGAGAGACCAGCGGCGTCACCACTGATATATTTCATCATCACTGGGACACACTGTGTCAGAGGCATCCATGGGGCAGAACCCAGCACCTACCGTATTGTTTAAGTTCTAAGACGCACACTTTTTTCACACTTTAACATCTCTGAAATCATGATACGGCATACAATTTAAGTTTTCAGAGTACTGTGACACAGTTTAATCGCCAGCAGTTTGTTTCCCCTCCCACAGGGATACATAAAAATCAGAAGCTCTAACTCACCATAAGAGTGGTCCCTGTAACTCTCAAGGTGCTGCTGAGGATGAGCCAGATGCCGTGGAAGAGCAGAGGTTTACTACTGAACTCCAGCAAGCTTCTCCCCTTAGAATGGTCTTGGGCTGCAGTGAAAGACCTTCTGTCCTTTTGGTCAGCTTTAGGAGAAACCCTAGGACTCTTCCCTTCGTACAGCTCCTCACTGATGCACTGAAAAAGCAGCTTTCCTTGGGGTTTGTAAGATGCTCTATAAAGGCAAGCTGTTGTACAGTGAACCTGTAAGAAGTCTTCAGAGCAGCCAGATGTAAAGTTATGCTCCACTGGTGACCTGTCAGAGACCTGACCTCTTGGGTATGGCTGGACGTAAAAGGACATTAAAGAAAAAGATGGGGCTAAGAATGAAAGATACAATCTGTGCTTGTGCTCTGGCCACACAGGGTTTCCTCTGTCCACCCACTCTTTGCTGCTTGGAGCTTTTCCACAAGGGGTACAGATTCCTAGAGGCACAACTGGCACGTTTGAAGTCAGCACGAGCCTAGAGGTTTGGAACGTATTTTTGCTAAGAAGTGAGGAGATTTGAGCAAATCCTCACCCCTCTGGACTGAGTGTTTTTTCTTCTGCAGAGGGGCGGGAAAAGAACAAGACTGTGTACCTTTTCTGGAAGCCAGGAAACAACTGTAAAAGCAGGACTCGTACTTCCAAGCAACACAATAGTGACACTTTGGGAACATGTGTTTAGAATTAAGACACAGAGTGGGTTTTGTCTGCCCACCAAGCCCCATGCTGGAAGACTGTAAAGCTCAGTCACCCTTGCCATTAATTGGTGCTCAAGCACAACTGGCTCAATTTTTCTAACTTTCTCGAAGAGTTCCAGGCCTCTTTTCCAATTAGTGCTGCCCAAGTGAGGGCAGCAGACGTCTGGCCTGAAGGGAAGCTCTGCAGCCCTGGCGTGGCTGCACGTGGACTTGTGATCTTGTCCTGCACCCCTGACAGGGTCTTGTCTCTGCCTAAGAGTGATTTTCTGCAATTGCAATGTAATGGTCATTTGATTCCTCCTTGGGGACAGGCAAGATTTGTTAGGTTCCTGCATAAATTACGGGGGATACGGTAGCCCAGAGAGATGGCTGTTTTAATGGGGACAAGTTACTTTCTTTGGTTTGTCCTCAACATTAGCTTCTGCGTGTGGCCCCTCAGGCTGTGATGAAGGTTAAGTGACAGGCCAACAGGCCAGGTGGAAGCAATCAGATACGCCATTTACACAGGCCTCCGGGATAAACAGGAGTGGACAAACTGCTGTCCAAAGTGGTTTTCCCAATTTACATTTCCATCAGAAGTGCATGAAAATCCCAATGCTCTACATCTTCATCAACACTTGGTATTTTCAGCGTTTTTCATTTCAGCCATTTTGGTTGGTGTGTAGTGGCATGTTATAGTTTTAATTTGAATTTCCATAATGACTAATGAGCTTGAGCAGCTTTTCATGTGTTACTGGCCTTTTGAATATCCTCTTTTGTGAACTAAGTGCCTATTCACATCTCTTGCCGATCTTTTAATTGACCACTTTTTATTGTTTGATAAGAGTTGTATATATACAGTATACACAGAGGTATACATTGGAGACATCTTGCCTTTTCACGCGCTTTACGATGTCTTCCAAAGGGCAGAGATGATTCCTTTTATTGCATTTAATAATGTTTTCCTTTATGGTTAAGGTTTTTTGAATCTTAAGAAGTCTTTGCTTATCCCAAGATGCTAATCTCCTATATTATCTTCTAGAACCTTTAGTTTTATCTTTCACACTTAGAATTTAAATCTCCTCTGGACTTGAAGTTTTGCATATGGTGTGAGGTAAGGGTCAGAGTCTTTTTTCTCCTATAAGGCTGTCTAGTTGACCCAGCAGAACTTCTTGAAAAGTGTCCTTTCTTCACTGTTTTGTGGTGCTATCTTGTCATAAATCAGGTGTCCATATATGTGTGGGCCTGTTTTTTGGACATATAAGTCTGTTCCATGTATCTATTTGTCTATCCTTGTGCCATTACTACACTGCCTTAATTACTTACTGTAGCTTTATGATAAATCTTGATTTCTAGTCGGGTAATTCCACCAAATTTATTCTTTTTATTTAAAAATGTCTTAGCTATTTTAATCCTTTGCTTTATTTAACTTAATTCTCACAAAAGTCCTGTGAGGTGAACTAGTTACGATTCTTATCTCGATTTCACAGACTGGCAAACTCAGAGAAGTTAAGTAATTTGCCCAGGGTCATATAAGTATCAAGTGACGGGAAGGGATTAGAATACAGATTTGTCTGATTCTAGACCCAAGTGTTTAAAGTCCTTCATATACCGCCTCCATAATCCTCAAGCCAGATGACTCCTTCAGGGCATTAATATGAATGCACTACAATTCTAAACCACCCATTTCCAGTTAAAAATCTTGTTTCGAAACTACAAAAAGCCACTTTCCTGGTGAGACTCAGGAAAACAAAGCAACAAGAGACAAAAGCTTCTTGGATTCCTTCCACAGCCCCTCTGTCCTCAGAATAATCATCACGCCACTAACCTGCACTCAGAGGGTCCCTCAGGCCTGGCTCCCCTCCACCTCTCCAGCTTTAACTCTCACTACCACTCCTCTCCCTTCTTGACTCATAAACCACGCTCGAGTACTCGAGTACTCCTAGTAAGCCAAGATCTAGCACACAGCTGCACCTGTGCTCAGACTGCCTTCTCCCACTTCTGGCTACGTCTTCCTTTTTCTGTAAAACCTGTGTATCAATTCCCTTGGGAGGCCTTCCAGAAGTTCATCTGGGTTGGGCACTTCTCCTCCCTGTCGCCTATCCTAGCATGTCACACTGTCCTAGAGTTCGGCTGTCTCTCCAACTAGACTGTGAGGCACTTGAGGCTGGGCTGGTACTTTCGCTGAGTTCTGCAACTTGCATGGTGGCTAACAGAACAGACGTTTGCTATCAAGTCCTGAGAGAGACCAAAGACAGACTTCTTTTGCTAGGTGCTATAATTAAACAATAGGCTCTAAGAAGAGGCCTGAGAGAAATGATTTCTAATAAGTCCAGGACACACTCTTTGGTAGAAGTGGAATTTAGAAGGCTTAGGGAGGAGACAGAAAGATCTTGTGTGATGGACTTAGGCATTCAGGTGAGACAGAACTAGGACTGCGAGATAGAAGGTCAGGTATTAAATGGCTATACATGATTAGACAAGCTGTGACTCAAAAGACTTCAGAAGAACTAAAATATTCCCATGAAGTACACAATTAAACTAACAACAAGGCAGGTTCTTCTGAGATGCAATCATTCAACAAACTGAGAGTTTGGTACTCTGGGTAGCTGTTCCTCTCCCTCACCAATTGTGAAAGTGATGGTTTAAGACGAGGCAGGGGCAGGAATACACTACAAAAGGAGGAGTCTCTCCAATGGGGACATTTTCAAGAAAATGAGACATGACACTCCCTTTGGGCGGGAGAGACCACCTCCAGGCCTTCTCAGCTCTGTGATCCTGAGGCTGCCCGAATGCTTCCAGCCCGTGCTGCCACCCAAGGCAGTGTCGCTCCAACTGCGCAGTCTTTGAGAAGTTCCAGGCTAGTAACAGCTCACTGGCTTTTCTCCTTAAGAACATAAGCTTTATTTTCATAAACGTTTTTCCCAGGAGCACCAAGATGATCACCTTTCACCACCAGCAAAATGGAGAAAAGGAAAAACTCTAAGATGTCCAACCCAGGTTTTCCACATTCTTTCAGTCTATTCCAATTTTTAGGGTCACTTTGTTCACTGAAGGGCAGAGAAGGGATTAGAAGCCTCTCAGAGTAGGGAAAACTGCTCTAGTCCCCCGCATTCATCCTCGTTTTCTTTACCGTCTTAGCTGTACTCAAAACAAGGGCTTATTTTTCCTTCTTTTAGAAATTCAGAATCTAGGACATCTGAGGGTTGTGGATATTTTGGAGGATAGATAATCTTCTGGCATGGGAAATACTTATAATTAGCTATTTTTCTCAAAATTTTGGGAGGGTTTATTGACATTTGGGCAGCTTAGGCACTTTAAGAAAATCTTCAAACAAAAAAAGCTTCTGTCTCCAACTTACACCTTATGTGAGAAATAAGTTTCCAGAAAATAAGTGTCAGAGAGTAGGCACTCATGCTAAAAGCTAGATGCTTCTGGTCCAAATTTAGGAACCCCCTCCTACCTTTCCTGGAAAGGATTGCTCCATGGGTTGCAAATAGGAATGACTGATTTATTTTCTTCCCTGATATGAAAATCTATTCATAATATTTTCCTGTTTGGGCAGGGGAAGCAGCTACTAGGAAGAACAAACAAAAAGCTGACTGGGAATCCATAAAGCTCCATTGTTCCATGATATTTTCTCTACCTTGTTGCTACACGGGAGCTCCAAGATGGTAGGGTCCCATGTGATGTTACATATGATTGTATAGCACACAGCACTTTTGTGGCACACTTGCTGTTTAAGCTCAGTGTCACCGGATGGCCAGATCATCTTGAAGATCCTCATGGAGTTTAGCAGACCCTGCTAAATGACTCTGTTGTATGCTGACAGTTGGGGCCAGGTTCTCATTAGTGAAATGAACTCCATACAGCTAAGACTGCAGTGCCCAGCTGGGCTAGGTATTTGCAAAAAGAGACCAGGGACCGGCTGACAATGCCAATTCTAAACAGACTCCTTTGGGCAGAATGACAAGTTGCTGTAGGGTGCCAGCAACATCCTTACCCCTTAGTAGGCAAAGGAGACTAGAGAGGTGAGAAAACAAACCTTGATCCACTACTGCTTTTTGATTTAGAGAAAAAAAATGTGTTTGGTAACTCCAATTGCCTGAACAGAAATGACTTTCTGAGCAGCTAGAAGCCCCAACTGGAAAAGGACTCTGGGGGCTCTTGGCAGGGAAGGAGAGTTGTCAGGCGGCAGGCTTGTGTGTGAAGGACCCACACCAAATATGAGTGAAAAGTTCATTTTAAGAATTTAAGGTTTGCTGAAATCCCAAGTTTTTTCCATTTGTTTTCAAAGGAAGAGTGTCTTTCAAATATAGTACATAAAAGTTACAATATTCCCATTTCCAGGGATCTATATCATATGTAGAGAATAATTTCAGATTTGCAAACCAGATTGCATAGAAAGAGGGAATTGAGACTCTAGATATGGATTTATTAGGTGATGGGGATTCTTTTCCCTCTGATTTAATATATTTTCCAAGTTTAGAACCATGGCCCAGGATGGGCCTGTCCTCTGTTCTGCCTAAAGACCGATGGAAGTGTGAGTGACCATCCCAGAACCATGTCCAGAAGTCCTAAGTTTTCATCCCTGCTGTCATCTCTGACACCTTCTTGCCAAATGTCAACTGTGAGAAGCTAATACTGGCTCACTCTTTGTTGAAGGAGAAAGCATGTTAAAAAAAAGTTAAAAAAAGCAAATCGTGTGGATACAAATAACAGTCTTTTTTTTTTTTTTTTGCTTCCTAAGAGATTTACTCTACCCTTCTATTTTTAGAGCTTTTCTAAGTTGGAAATTTTCAAATGTGAGCTAGTGTGAAATCCAGGTTGAAAGAGGGTTTTGTAAAACACTGAATGATGATCAGAGAAAGAAATAACCAGTCTTGCTAAAAGCACATTCAGCAAGATGTCCAAATACACCAGATCCTCATATAAATAGCATGGATTACATTAACAGGCCTCCCTGGGTGAGTAGAGAGTCCTATTTGCAACCCTCTTTGCCTACCTTATGCTCACTCCATGATTATATAACCTTTAGAGTGGAATGTGGAAATTCTTTTGACCCTGCCCTGCTTGCTGATAGAGCTGAGCCAGTGGCTGGCAGGGGCATAATCTAATAGGCGAAACTGGAAACACACAAATTCAGTCCTCTCATCTCAGCCCACAGGCTGTGCAGGCAAGGAAAGAGAAGACTGGGCCCTTTCTCCCTCCTCCCCTCCTCTGGCCTAAGTTTACGCTGACTTCACCCAACAGGCACCTGACCCTCCCAGATGAGCTGGGAGGGGCTAAAGCGCCATGCCCGGCCATGGTGGGAGTGGAGGTGCAGGCAGCAAACAATATTTAAGATGCTGACTTTGTAGAGCATTCAGGCTTAGGAAGGACAGCTATAGGATACTCAATTAAGCTGCGCTTTCAGAAACTCAAGCTTTGAGAAAGTCTAGCAAAGAGCAAGGCAAGAGAGAAAACAACAAAGTGGGAAGCCCATCAAGAGTGAAAGGGTAAGGCTGTAATTGCTGCAGCTCTGCAAACCTTAGCTGGGCATATCCAGATTCCCCCAAGGGAAGACCCTTCCTCACCCAGGCCCAGGGAAGATGCTGAAAAAGATTCTCTCACCTGTGACCTGGCTTTGCATTTTTGTCGTGGCTTTTGTCAGCCACCCGGTGTGGCCCCAGAAGCCCACTAAGCTCAAGACACCTGCA